TTCGGTGTAGTGGTTAAGTGCGCAGACTAATCTGGGAGAACCGGGTTTGATTCCCCACTCCTCCACCTGCACCTGCTGGATGACCTTGGGCAAGCCATAGTTCTGATAAGAGCTGTTCTTGAAAAAAACAGCAGTTTCTGTCAGAGCTCTCTCAGCCCCACCTACCTCACAGGGTGTCTGTTATGAGGAGGGGAAGGAGTTTGTAAGCCACTCTGAGTGAAGGGCGGGGTATAAATCCAATCTCTTCTCTTCTACTTGAATAAACCTTTGTTGGTCTTAAAGACACCACTGAACTCTAAATTTGTTCTACTGCTTCAGACCAACACAGCTGGCCACCTGGATCTATGTACAAGGGAAGGTCTCCCTGGGAAGTGGAATGCATCTTTTTTGCACCATAAATATGAAAGATATCTTCACATAGGATTCCTGTCAAGCAGGGCACATTTTACCCTAACCACAGGTGTCTATATGGGCAGCACTTTACTTTCTTCCACTATGTGAACAATTACTCTATTTCTGGATGGAAACAGAGCATATACTGGTATGGCAGCTACCACTACTGAGTATCTATTTTGCTCCCTTGCACCAATCTGCTGTACCATTCCTTAATGTGCAAGAAGCAGAAGGAAATCACACTGATGTACACACAGAGATGCATGTGTGCTACCCAAATGCATGGAGAAGGCGGCAGCAACCCTAACACACGCCTTTACAACACAAAGATGCTCTCTTCATTCTCACACGCAGTGTAGTTCAATGAAACCTGCAGTTCCGTGAAACTTGCAATGCACAAGTCTATTAAACGGACACACACACACTCCAAATAGTTACTCAAGTAAGCAAACAAACAGCCTCTAAGCCAGTGACTGCAAAAAAGGGAGGCTGCCAAATGCCTGCTATATTAAAAAGAAAGAATTTCCCACATACTTCTCCTTTTGCTCAAGTTGTTGAGCCTTAACTTGTTTGAAGAATGACAGAGAGAATGCCACAGAGGCTGCTACACTATACCCACGCATGCAGAGCTTTGTTGCACACAGCCACAGATATCAAAAAGCAAGCAAAAGACATAAAAAAAAGTTTGACAAGTCAAGAACTCTTCAGTAGATTACAGGGAAGAGAGAAGCAAGAGCCCTCTCGGTTATGCCACATGCTCAGTGCTCAAAGCCTCACAATACTACGGGCACATGCATATTTAGAAGCAAGCACATGATGGCTATTATCTTGAGCAGGTTAGGTACAATTCGGTTCTTCTCTCAAAAAAGCTTTCTGTAATACGCAAAATGACTGCCACAAAAAAGGATCAGAGTCAAAGATCAAGTATCCCTAAAAGCTCTTTAGTCCAACTTTATGCACCATCCCTGATTGATTCACACCATGAAGCATTCAAGTCACAACTAGGAAACTGCAGCAAGCAGTGCACTGCAACAGTGAGACAGCAGGAAGCATTAAGTTGTTCCAAACACCAGTTATTGCCAGGCCAAGGATGGAGGAAGACAGATGCAGATATAATCTTAACTATTTTGGCAATGTGAAATACCAAATGAATTCAATGCACAGATTTCTATGCAGAGTGACTTCTGCAATCTGCCATCCTCTAAGTTTATTGTTTCAGTGGGTCTATCACCACACAATTTAGTTTGTAAGTCACTGTGTTTTGGAAAACCTACTTGTGTAAAGCAGGGCGACCACAAAAACGTTCTGAGGTTTGGCTCTGTCAGACAACAAGAGGGCCACATAAGGCAATCATCTAGCTATAGGGTAACATAATTGCCAGAATTCTCAAAACAGACGTGGGTGGGATACCAAGACATTTTGCTCTGCTACTACAGAACAGAAATGTTTTAAAGAGATCAAATGTTTTAAAGAGATCAAATTACTACAGCAAGAAAAATAAAAACAGACATGTGGACTGAAAATCAGGGGGGAGAGATTTGTGACAGCAAGATTCGTACATGCTCAATACCCCAAACAAGTTGCAAAGCGGACACTGTAAGGAAATGTGAAAGAGATAAAACGCTTTGGAAATATTCACATGACAAACCATCTCCAGCTCCCCTCATTTGAGACACATAATACTGGGTAGCATGCTTACCGGCTTCAATTTACATAGCAAAAGTGGTCAATAGCCAGATAAAGATTTGAAACATATACCATAAATAATGCCATAGTGAAAAATCCCCATGCAAAGAAGCCATGCTTTATAGCACAGAAAGAGGTTCAGCATCTACTACCTACATCTTTGATTAGCTAACCATACATGATACCACTAAGGTAGTGCTCATCACCCATGCTCATTTCTTACCATCTGATGCTTAAGTAATAGTAACCAAATCATCCAGGGATCTATTCCAAGTGATTACCTATGTACTCATCTTTTAATGCAAATTACTTTTTCTGAAATCAGCAGGCCTGTAAACAAACTGTTCAAAGCAAGTATCAAAGGATAGATTTCCCCATCCCAGAATGCTTTGGTCTCACCCCCCCCCCCAAAAGCAGTTTGTCTGCAGCACAGACATCTTTTTAAAAAGTCACAAGGGACCTGCCACACAGCCCCTTGTATTCATATGGCACAATAATAGACGTCAGCAACTTAACTTCTTGGCTAAATCGGTGAATCCATTTTATGCATTTCTCAGTATCAAAAACCATGTCAGGGTCTTTGCATCAGAAAAGATCCAAAAGGAAGATCTTACAGCAACAGTGCTTACATTATGAGAAACTCTACTATTATTCAATATGCATTTTTGAGACTGCAAGACATAATAAGCATGATGTGGTTCCTGCCCATAAGGCTGGCACCCTGGGGTCTATTTGAGGAGATCCCAGAGAAGTGTGCAGCCAAAATGTCCAACCAGCACATTGAACAGACACAAGATGGAGCCCCTCCTGGTGTTCCAAGTGACAAAGTGCAACCAGGGGAACAGGGACCGTGAATCACCATTTGCTGAGCCGAGCATGGCAATAGTTCTTTCCGCTGGCCACGTTCCGAAGGGGGCACCCCTTGATGTGCTAGGCTGGTTCATGTGTGTTACACATCAGTGTCCATGATTAAGACACTATGTGGTGTTCAGCAAGCATGTTCCAGTGAAACCACTTCCTTGCAGCATTTACAGGAGTCAGCATTTCTCCTTCACGCTGTTCAGCATTCATTGTGCTCTGCCACATCTCCTGTTCCCTCTAAAGCGGCTTCAGTTCGGTAACTCTACCTTGAACTCCCACAAAGTACAACCAAGACACGCCAAGACATTCATTCACAATAACTATGCTTCCATCTATCCTTTGCCTGTGAATATGCTGTTGAAAAAATTCCCCTGCCTTCCTGACCCTAAGCAGAAGTAAAGCCTATTGTATTCAATGCTCATGCACATGTTTATACAGATTTGTGTTTATAGACTGCAGTCAACAGTCCTTAAGCAAATTTAGGATTACACGATAAGAAACAATGCTCTTTCTATTAACATCACTGGTTTACTCCCCCAGTGCGTTCATCCACATGTAACCCCATCAGGGATGTCAGCGGCTGAGCTACAAGCCTCACCCCTTCTAACAAGCTCAAAGACTTTTTAGAAGTTAATCACAGCTAGCCATTTATAAAAGGGGGGGGGTGAGCACACTTCAGTCCTCCGTCCTAAAACCCATTGCCTTAAGGGACAAGCCTGTTTGGAAAGGTTGATTAATCTCGATGGAGCCCAGGCAGTTTAAAGGCTTCGGATCCCAGCCACTACAGATGCTGGGATTTGGGCGTGGCAGTCGAGCTCATATTCCCCACGTCTTCGGCTAGGGAGAGAGGAATAAGGTCCAAACACCATCTGACCTTCCTAGGGATGCCCTAGCCGACAGAACAGGTGCCCAAGTTGGGCAGCCCAACTATGCAACGGGGGGGGGGGAGCTGAGCAACGCCCTTTGAAGAAAACGATCCGTTCCTATCGAGGTCTTCTGGACTAACAAAACCAGACTGGGTTGTTTGGATCTAGTCCATTCATCTACTAACATTCCGACCGACCGAGGCTATTTCAATGCCTACACCTTTCCTAGCCAAGTCCTTCCCCGACTCTCTTGCACAATACACAAAGCTGTGGTTCTCCCCCCCACCCCCCGCGTGTGTACATACAACTCCACCCTACTAAGAGATAAGAGATTGCGAACACAGGCGCTGAAAAAGCAAGGCACGCCCCCTGGTCTCCTTTCGGGGTGGGTGGGGTAGTCACCGGATCGAGCAAACAGGTTTTACAGAAAAATACACCACCACGATTGTTATCAACACGCACTGCAATTCGCCAGCCGTCCATTCAAGCCCTCCCTCCACCCCGGTGTTTAGAGGCAAGAGTGAAGGCCGAGAGTGCGCCGGAGGGAAGGAGCCAGGCGTGAGCCGAAGCGGAGGAGGAGAATTTCCGAGGGTTTCAAAGACGGGGAATCAAACAGGCAGCGAAGAAGAGCAACAGGGCACGAGAACACCTGAATGCCCGGCGAGGCTGGCTCCCCTCCCCTCGGGAGTCTACTATGCAACGGCAAATGAAGGCCGGGGAAGGCGCTGATTCGCCGCCGAGAGGAAAGAAAGGGACACACCCCTCGCCTCCAGAACAGGAGGAAGATGGGGGCGCTGCACGGGCGGCCACGCGAGAGAAAAGGCGGCGTGGGATGAGGAGGGGACGGCGGCGCAGGAGCCTCCAGCAAAGCCGAAAACGTCACCTGGACGCGGCTTCTGCTAAAAGCGCGGACGGGAAGGGGGGGAGGGGGGGATTAGATGATTGTGAGAAGCACGTACGCAGGATCGGCGCACCCCCCCCCCCCCGCCCGCGGCCTGCAAGCGCTGAACTCTAGAGACCTCCACGTGATCTTTCTGCCTGCCCGGCTCTGCATCAGGGTAGTCTCGCCGGTGGGGCGTCTACCCAGTCGCCCCCCGCTGGATCCGGCCAGAAAGGAAGGCGTACCCAAACAAGGTGGTCGTGGAGAGAGGGAGAAAGGGAGAGGTGGTGGAGGAAGTCGTCGCGACGGCTAACCTGTTTGGAGTAATCCGGAGTCAAGAGTTCCAGCAGTCCAGGGAGACGTTCATCTGGCGAGGAGACTCAAAGGCTTCCCAGCCTCTTTTGCAATTACAAAAAAAAAAAAATGCAAATAGAAAATGGATCGAGGAGGGGGGATTAAAAACCAGCCACTCTCCCCCCCCTGCCGGCGTTCTTCTGCCTCCTCCTCCTCCGTGCAGCAGCGAGAGAGAGAAAATGAATCGAGCTGGCTCGGGAAAGTGGCGGGTAGGGGAGGAGGGAAGGGGGAAAGGCGAAATAATGCAAGGCAGCTGCAGCGGGAGGCAGGAATGAGGGAGCTGGGAAGCGGGAGGGCTGCGAGCTCAGCGAGGGAGGCACGTCATGAGCAACTGAACCAGCCTCCGAGGGGAAAGAAGGGGGGGGAGAGAATATGATCATCTATGAAATGAGACAGCCTTTGGACAGGCTGCAGCCAGGCAGCTCCCGCGTCCCCCCAGCGCTGCAAAGCGGCGGCGAGCCGCTCCTCCGGTGCGGGCAGTCAATCTGCCAGCGGCAGGGAGCTTGGCGACCGGCACCTGTCTGCGCCAGGGATTGTCCGGCCAGCCCTGGCGCACATCGCAGGTGCGAAGCGAGGAAGCTCCCGCTTACAGACTCGCTGGATCCGATTCCGGGCTACCTCCCGACTGCTTCCAGCTCCCTCTGCCAGTCAGAGAGACACACAGACTCTAACCCCTCCCCTCGCAACTCCCTGCTCATTGTTCCGTAAACCAAGGTAGTAAAACGCGCGGGCACGCCCAGATCCACGCACTCCTCGAGGTTACTATAAAGTCACCAGAAAGGGAGGGGAGGACTCACGATTTTACGCGTTTGTAGGGCTACGAGTTGCGAAGGGAGGCTCTTTGCAGTGCTTGAAGTCCTCTGCAGTTCTGTCATTGGCAAAGCTCAGTGCCTTCGGGTCCCTGTTGCATGTTTGCTTTCAAGCGTTACAAGGATGCAGCGCCCCTGTGAACATAGCGGCTTGGACTGAAGGAGAGAGAGTGACTTGCCTGAAGCCTTTCAGGGCAAGGGCATAAACTATGGGGAGGGAGCAAGGCTCAAGGCCCCCCCCGCGCTTTCTGGAGGGGACAACCCCCCTGCCAGGTAGCATTATGAAGCTGTTTCAGGCTGGCGGGTTCTCAAGTTCAGTCAATCCTGTTTGCAGCGATTTAACAAGTTCCTAGGAGGCACAGGGCTGGTTTTGTTTGTTTTTGTAAAGATAAGAAGGGGAGGGACCTTCGGATAATACCGTCTGTGAAGAAACAATAGAGAAAGAGCGTGGAAGAGGGAAAGGAAAGATGAATCCACCTAGCAATCACAAGGCCTCAATGGTGGGACTGAAGAATATATTTCTTGTAGTCTGCAACACAAAACTGTGATGTAGGTACAGCTAGATTGGAGTCCAGTAGCACCTTAGAGACAAGATTTGGGGCGTCTGAGCATTTGAGAGTCAAGGCCTTCGTTAGTATCTGATGAAGGGGGCATCAGCTCTCAAAATCTCATACCCCGAAAATGTTGTTGGTCTCTCAGGTGCCATTAGAGTCCAGTAGCACCTTAGAGACAAGGTTTGGGGCGTATGAGCGTTTGAGAGTCAAGGCCTTCGTTGGTATCTGATGAAGGGAGCATCAGCTCTCAATCTCATACCCCGAAAATCTTGCTGGTCTCTCAGGTGCCTAGCTGTTCTACTGCAGGTAAACACGATTATCCTCTGAAACTCTCTAGAGGAAGAGTTGGTTTTTGTACTTGGCTTTTCTCTACCCAAAGGAGTCTCAGAGCGGCTACAGTCGCCTTCCCTTCCTCTCCCACGAAAGACACCCTGTGAGGTAGGTGGGGCTGAGAGAGCTCTGACAGAAACTGCTCTTGAGAGAGCAGCTCTGAGAGAACTGTGACTGACTCAAGGTCACCCAGCTGACTTAATGGGCAGGAGTGGGAAATCAAACCCAGTTCTCCGGATTAGAGTCCACTGCTCTTATCCACTACACCATACTGGCTCTCATGTAAGTAATGGGTCAAGAGAATTATGGTTTCCATTCTCAGATGGAATACTAATAGCATAATTACTATGTCCTGGTGGCTGTGCCTTAGAGAAAGAAACAGTCCAGTCTCCATTTTATTTTAGCTATGGGTGTGGAGGAGTGTTACCAAGGACCTCCTTCCTACCTAGATGTCTGCTGTCTGCCCTGATTCCATCCTGGCTAAATTTGCCTTGGCAGCCATGTTAGGAGCTAGCAATGCTTTGCTTTGGTGAAGGTGCAGTCAAGGCTCTCCTCAGGCTATGCTAATGAGTGGCCAAAACCTTGGGCAGGATTCACTGACAGGACATCTGCAGTGGGACTATGACATCTTGTGATTTGGACATTGTGCCTCTGTTGACACATCCCAAGACTGCATTAGCCTTTTTTGCTGCTGCATCCAGTGACTGCTCATATTTAGCTTACAATCCACCCATACCCCAAGTTAACACACACTGCTCCCCAGAAGTGTGTCCCCCATCCATTATGAATGCTTGCCTTTTTTGTTACCCAGATGTAGAAATATGCACTTATCCTAGTTGAATTTCATCTTAATCTGTCCACTTTTCCAGTGTGTTCAGCTCTTGCTAAGTTCTATATCTTCCAGGGTGTTCACTACTCCTTCCTATTTGGAAGTCATCTGCAAATCTAATGAGTAGTACCTCCACCCCCTCATCCAGATCATTTATAAAAATATTGAATATTGAAGAGTACCACTGATGTAGAAGAGGCTGAAGTGGACCGGTTCTATGAAGACCTACAACACCTCATAGAACTAACACCAAAAAATGATGTCCTCCTCATCATAGGGGACTGGAATGCTAAAGTAGGAAGTCAAAAGGTAACTGGAATAACACACAAGTTTGGCCTTGGAAAGCAAAATGAAGCAGGGCAAAGGCTAACTTTGGTCCCTGCCACACGGCAGAAAAAAACCCGGGCAAAGTGCGGCTAATCAGAGCCGCACCAAAATAGAGACGCCGCGACAGGATCCCACGGATCCCCTGAGCCGCGGCGCCATTGCTCCCCGGCACGATCAGATGCCGGGGAGGAAGCCATGGTCGGGAGGGGGAGGCTGCCGAACTGCGCATGTCTGAGCATGCGCAGTTCGGCCAGGAGCCGGGGCCGTCCTTGATGCGGACTTGCCGTAAGAACCACCTCGGTAGGTGGTTTATTTTTGCCGCAGCGTTTTGGGCGGAA